AGCTAATGCATCTTTTAAAGTAAATAACAGAGAGGAAATCGACCACATTTGCCAACAGCTGATAATTCGCTTGAGTTATACCTTATACCGAGTAGAAATTTACAAAATTGATTCTGAACTTGTTCAATTTGAGGAGCGTTCTCATAACCCCAGATTTGACTACCATATAATAAGATTGGCACAATGATGGAATCAAATAATTTGAAAGAATCAGATATGGTCATACCACCAAGTATTCGAATCATTGCTTTTTTACTCTGTGCTGATTGGGTTAATTTGGTCGGATTCCAACTTAGTCTAGATCCAAGATACTCGTACCGAGGGACAATCTTAATTTCATGATCTCGATAGAACCATTTTTCTCTTTGTTTTAGATAACCACCCCTGTGAACAATTATCTGTGTTTTATTTAGGTTTAGAGTTAGACCCCAGAGAGAACAAAATTGGTGTACTTTGGCTTTGAGTGTGAAAATGTTGTCACTTGTACTGTAGCCTCGCCGAAGACCACATTGCGCTTCAGATAATATACAATTCTTACGACACCAGTGGTCCAGACGTGAATTTAGGATTTTTGTTAGAATCTTACTTGTTACTGATATAAGGGAGAAATCCCTGTAATTACTTGTTGACATCAGAACGATGACCTTTTTATGCAGTGGCGAGATAATGGCTTTACAGCAGGTTGCTGGAAAGTTACAACTGGAGAGTATGTTATTGAATAAAAGCAATAAGACAGGACCATGTGTGTCCAGCGTTCAACTTGTCTTTCTTGTCATCTTGAATTTTCAAGGTGAATGTTTCCGTGAAGCACTCCACTATCACTGTTGTAGAGGGAGGAATGTCCGAACGAAACAATAGCGTACAGGCGGCCGATGCTTTCTTATTGGCTATAATATACTATATCTTTTAGGTGTATTTTAAATCCATTTTTTATACCTGTTTTGATATATATATTTCAAACGGGGGTAATCTTCATCATCCACCATAATTTAAGTTCAGGAAACTTATGTTGGGTTAGTTCATCTCCTACAGTATATGTAATAATCCCCCAGTCTCTCACTTCTACACATTCATTAAAAAAAATGTACTAATATTTCTGTGGGTATTAGAACAACATATTTGTCTGATTCATCAACAGTAAGGGTCTTACACAAAATATAATTCTTGTAGTCTAAACTTAACAAAGTTGTCTTCGCCCTTTTTCTCCAATGAAATAATTACCCCTGTCTTTTTGCGTGTGTGTGTGTGTGGGGGGGGGGGGGTCTCGCCTACAAATAGAGCCTAGAGCGTTGAGAGAATTCACTACAAGTTTACTAATTTGAGGCCAAAACTGCATATAGAATTCCATCACAGACTATCATTCTGTCGTTCTGTTCACTGGAAGAGTTTTTAAAGCACTGTAGGATCTTCCTATGTAATATTGGTCCACGCGTGTGTCTGATATGTCTGGAAGTTCAGAAGGCAGTCTTGGTATATTAAGATTTTGATGAAATTTGTTTGGGATTTATACAATTTGATTTATTTGGCCTTGATTTCTTTGTTGATGTGCATTTGACTATCAATCAGTGTTTGGTTTCCAAGTAATATATTGTTAATTTGAGACCCACTCCTGATCTTAACATCGATATACAGTAAATGAAATTTAAACATCTAAATTAAATAAAGTACTTTACTTCTGTCATGAATTAGTTTTTGCGTATCTGTTAATCGACTTAATTAGCTGAATGGCTGTGTTATGTCTGTCATCGTTTAGGCCTATTTGAAGTTTTGGACGGAACTTGGCTCAGTGATTTGGAACTAATTACGAGATAACCGTCGCTATTCTGACTACGAATTCTGACAGTTGGTATCCGTAATTATTAATGTAGTGAACGATTAATCAAAAGATCATATGACGTGTTCAGTACTTAGTGTGATTGGCTGTATGATTGAAGGTTACGCCCTAGAGTCTTTTTTTATGTTTTGTAATTGGTTAGAGTTTTGAAAATGAATAAAGAGAGTTTGAGTTGGTCTTGGAGAGTACACCAGAACAGAGGCAGTCCTGGAGAGCCTTGGGGGCGAGTGTTGACGCAGTCTAAGAGAGTCTTGGTTCAGCCTCGCGATAGTCTTGGGGATTTTTTCCCAGGGCGCTGTGTC